CAAAATGAGGCTGCCGGCACTCTCCTCTCCCAGCTGGTGTGAGAAGTGAATGAGATCAGCCACAGAAAACTCTCATCATCCTTTCCACTCTCAGGTCCCACGATTCTAACTCTGGCACAACGAAGCACGTAGGACAAACTTGAGTTCTCGCCACCAACATCTAATCAGTAAGTTAAACCTTCATTTCCCTTTCACAGTACTAAAAGAGTTCTGTTTAAAATACACTCAGATCTAATGAATGTCCTCTTGCCATTATTATAAAAACAAAAACCCACAATGATCAACAAAAGCAGATGTTATTATTCATAATCTTAAATCTAAAATCAACCTGTATTCCAGAACTAAAATGAAAGCAATGTCCAAACACTGTTAAAAATAACAATCTGGAAAACTAATTCTCCTTATTTCTAGAATATTCTGTGTATTTTTGAGTTTATCTTTCAGAAGAGGTAGGAAGTAGGAAACAGCCACTACTGGTATGTAATAGGTTTGTAATTTCTTTTAAATCAGCAAGTATATAATAAGCTTATCAACCATCAGCCCTTCAGTCATTCATTATTGTTATTCCCCAAAGTCAGTTACAGGCCCTCACCTTCCCAATTCTCTTCCTCATTTTGCTAGAGAATCAGAACCTTCCCAACCTTTGACATCCTGATGTAAAAAATTAGCTTTAAATACATTCCCCCTTCTTTCCAATGTCCATTCACCCACTTTCTTTAATAGAATGCAATGTAATCCTTAACAAATGATATCTTATTACAGATTTTAGATTTCTTCTAAAATAGTTGTATTTTTTCTCTTTCTTCCAGAAGGAGTCACTATACTCTGTTTATTGCACAATCACTTTCCCCAACCCATCTTTTACGAAGAGTATGTAGACAGGAGTTCTTCATTATACGAACGAAACAAGTTTAGAGATGCATTAAAATCCAGCGTCTATCTTGGACACTGAAAACAATCAGATCTGGAGCTTCACAGATGTCTGGCTTTTGTACAGTTAATGTACTCAGTTTTCCCTTCTGATTTTCTTCCCCTGCAATACAGCAGAAGCTGCAGTTTTAGCCTAGAAATCTAAGCACTGGTCCTCATTCGCAAGTGTGCATTCCCCCTTCTCCCCCCATGGAGCTGTGCGTTTCCAAGTCTTTCTCCCAAGGCTCCAGCCTGCCTTGGAACATGGGGTTTACCAAGGGAAAGAAGGCATTGTAATGAGGTAGTAGCCTGCTCTCGTTTTCATGCATGGGTTAGCCTGTAACCTTGGTTTTCATTTTCTGCAGTGCACCTGGTCAGGTTTCTATATTTTTCCAAGTCTCTTTGTAGTTTTCACAAAAGCTTGACCCAAACAAGACATGCACCATGGTTACAGTTTCTCATTCCTGAGGTTATGGGTGGATGGGTCCAACCTCGTGTCCTTTAATAACTAAGTGAAAGACACCGCTCCAGTGGGGAGTGGAGGACAACACAACTGAAATATTTTAATATTTTCTAATAAAACTTCCAAATGCCTGAAGAAACGGTCACTGCAAAGAGAGTTAAAGGACAGTGTCTTTCCTCCCTAGAGAACAGCCTTAGCTTTTTCACCAAAAAAAAAAAAAAAAAAAAAAAGACACTGACTTTGCACTTGATCATTTTCCAGCTTATTAAGGGGGAGCTTCCCAGGGAGAGGGTCAGTTGCACGAGGGCAGGGCTGTGCCTGCTTTTTCTCTGTATATCTCACTTACAGCCTGCACATGGGGACTTGGAATCTCTATGGAAGTATTTGTTAACATAATGACTATGTGGCACATCCCTCAAGTTTCTCTGATGCTGAAGTCTAATTAACCAGGATATAAATAAAGTCTGCACAAAATTTTAGCACCTTTATAGCCCTCTCTCCGATTTCACAGGAAATTTATATATCCTTAAACTTCAAGGGAGGGAAACAAACATTTATAGTGCCTGTTATACATGGGCCACTCAGGAAACTCATATTTAAACATTATTACATCACCTTACAATCAAGCTTCTAACACATAACTGGATCTAATCCTACCTCTACCATTGACTGTAGCACTTGGGGAATTCTTTTAACTTTTGTGCATAGGACTAAAACAAAAAATCTATTAAGAGTTAATATTACTAATATAATTAACTTTTTTTTTTTTTTGACAGGCAGAATAGACAGTGAGAGAAGTAGAGACAGAGAGAAAGGTCTTCCTTTTCTGTTGGTTCACCCCCAAGTGGCCACTGTGTCCGGCGCACCGCGCTGATCTGAAGCCAGGAGCCAGGTGCTTCTCCTGGTCTCCCATGTGGGTGCAGGGCCCAAGGACCTGGACCATCCTCCACAGCACTCCCGGGCCATAGCAGAGAGCTGGCCTGGAAGAGGAGTGACCGGGACAGAATCCAGCACCCCAAGTGGGACTAGAACCCAGGGTGCTGGCGCCACAGGCGGAGGATTAGCCTATTGAGCCACGGCGCCAGCCCACAATTAACTCTTGGAACTGTTATCCAATGTAGAATTCTCCAGATGCTAGATTTATCTTTTCAACACCTTAAAAAATTTCAACTGCTTTAACGTATATCTTTTTAAACATGCTATTGTATCTGCATAGTCTCCACCAAAATGGCAGGAATATGAGTCCGTTTGCTTTGATGACTCACATGAAGGAGAGTGGTGAGGGCAGTAGGGTGCTTAAGAAAAGAGGTTCTGGGGCCAGCGCTGTGGTGTAGCAGGTAAAGCCCCCACCTGCAGTGCCGGCATCCCACATGGGTGCCGGTTCTACTTCCAGCTGCTCCACTTTTGATCCAGCTCTCTGCTATGGCCTAGGAAAGCAGTAGAAGATGGCCCAAATGCTTGGGCCCCTGCACCCACGTGGGAGAACTAGAAGAAGCTCCTGGTTCCTGGCTTCAGATCGGCAGAGCTCCAGCCATTGCCTCCATTTGGGGAGTGAACCAGTGGATGGAAGAACTCTCTCTCCCTCTGCTTTCAAAAAAAAGACAGAGGTTCTGGAACGAAGCTGCATAGGTGTAAGTGCTGGCATTGCCACTCCTAGCGATGTGACCTCTGGTAACAACCCTCCTGGGGGCTACACAATGAGGACAACCCTACTACCTACCTCTGAGGATTAAATGATAATCTATGCAAAGTGCTGAGAACACAGGGAGTGCTCAATAAATGCTAGCTTTGAAAAGGTTTAACTTACTGAGATGCTGAGCTCTTAGGGGAGAGTTTGAACCATTTCTCTCTACAACACAAATGGCCCCAGACTGCTATATATTTTTTGAATCCCTACACAAGTTTTATTTATAGATTTTGTGCTATGGGCAAACTAGCTCTTTTCCAGCTCCTTACCTCCATGTTTTTTGTTCATGGATGCCTTTACAACCACCCTTCTTCCATCTGTGGGTTTACCTTACTGTGAGCTGGCAAACCAAAGCATGATAGTGGCTGGAAAGCTGTGAGAAGAGGGCTCCCCAGTGAAGGCATCAGGGGCCCTCCCAGGAACGAGGTACAGAAATGGTAAGTCAGGTTTTGGTAACGTTTTTGTCCACTTGGAGATCTTTGGGGCTTATTCATTGTGCTCTCAGTTGCATTTGGGTAAGTGGGAAATACCAAATAAGTGACCTATGGATTAATGAGGCACCATTGTTCTAATTCTGCCAAGCATTAGATTAATCAAAAACAAATGAAAACTCGGTTTCTTCATGTTTTGCACTGTTAATTTTCTTCAATGATTAATCAGCTACCAGTGTAATTATTAAGCTTTAATCTGAACAATGTTTTTAGTGTAATACCTGCACCTACATACAGATCTTACATTAAAGCCTCAAGTTTTAAAGCACTGGAATTACCAACTGGCTAGTACACAAAGCTCAAGAAACAAAACCTTTCTGTGTGATTCAACTCGTGGTTCTGATGTGGGGGTTATTGATTCAATGAAACAGAGACAATACTGACCACCAAAAGGGCTAACGAAAAGAATTAACAGAGAAAATAAGAACAGAGGGGAAAATAGGGATTATGAACTCTTGAAATTTGGAAGAAAAAGAAATGGAAAGAGGACAGAGTAATAAAGAGAAATAAGGGATAATTTATCACGCTATTCCCAGTCCCTAAGTGAATCGTATGTTTTCAATTCAATGTCCAGCTTAGCAGCATCTCCACTTTCTTCCCCAACTGGAGAGGCACAAGAGAGACTCTGATAAGAAAGGTGTGTGTGTCGGTGATGATCAAGCCTTCTGCTTGAGTGACCAGATGCCGGGAGAGGCACAGCAACCACCCACCCTGGGGAAATCCGAGCTTGAGCCAGACGCTGGCAACCACCAGGCCAAAGTCTTTGTATTCATGTATCTCATCTTAGAAGTTACTGTATAGTTTGCATTCTGTTCTATTACACGCCACTGCATTTTTAATATAAAAATACTATTCATAACCACTTAGTTATTTAACTCCTCTCCTTCCCAAATCTTCAAGTAACACTAATGCTCCAGGAAGATCTGCATTGTGGTTCTGTGGCTTCCCCTTCTCCTTGAACAACACTAACATAGTCAAGGGTACGTCAGAGGCACAGGTGAAATGCTGTCTCATTATGATATGATGAGCTTAAGGGTCTCCAATGATCCACAATAAATTAATAATCCAATAATCATTAAATGAAAGCTCCAATTCTCATGCTATTTAGTGAAGCTAATAAATCCAAAAGGATAGAGCCTATACCCCACGATCTTAAAATGCCCTCGTAGCTTTTGAGCTACTGTTTTTGTGAAAAGATCAATAATGATGCTTTCATGCTGCAAGATGGAACTAGTGTTTCCCGAAATACATGAACTTCAGAAGTATTGAATTACCCAGAAGGATCAGCACCACAACCAAATGAACAGTTTGTTCTATGCAAGCCAGTGATTACCAGTGCAGAGACTACCCACTGAAGGCTGCTAGACACAAAATGACCAAAGACAAAGAAGTCAGGACGAGAGGCAACAAAATGGAGTCATCACCCCAGATCCAGGACTGGGATACTCACCCTCATCCCGATAGTCTGACAAAAAGGGCACGTCTGCAGGGAATGACGCACCACGGGATCCACTCTGGTTATCATCAGAGCTGTCCTGTGCCAGGTCTCCTCCTGAGAGACAGAAAGGAAAGCAGGGTCACCTCTGAGCATTTTCAGAAAGGCACACACACACACAAACTCACACACACATGTACACACACCTGAAAACACACACACACATGCAAGGATGTCTTTTACCTGATGAACATGGCCAACACCCACTACTGTGTGAGAAACAGATGAGTAAGTTCAGGAACCAACTTAACTGGATGGGGACTTTTCCACTCAAATAACTCCACTAGAACTTGGGCACTGTGGCTTGGAGCAGGAAGATCTCTTGCTACCAGAGGGAAATGTCCCCCTTACACTCGCCATGACAACAGAGTTATGTGAATTTGTGTTCATCTATACTACATCTCCATGAATGACAACCTCCACCCTGAGTGCCTGCTTATAGCTCCCAATGAAACAGAAGGAATGACACAAAGGGTTAACCTCCTATACACAAGCGAATGTAGCAAGGTCAATATTCTTTCCTCCTCTGAAAAATAAGAGAAGTTAAAAATAGAGGGAGAACCTCAACTGGGCTGGCTTCTATTCCTATTTAAATCACGACTTGTTTTGCAACCCTAATAAAGTTCTCTCTTTGTAATTCTGGTTTACAGCCCAGGCAACCAACCTCTTAGGAATTCTAAAAGCCCTAAGAAGGTAATATTTGTTCTGTAAAATGACTTTGATAAAAGGTAATGTATACACAATACTGAATTATGCAATTAAAACAATGCTAATCCCTTCTGGGTGTTTTCAACCTACATTGGATTGTATTTTGTAGAAGTGGCCAATGCTATTATGATACGTTAAAAGGTTCAGAAGGAAGATGTTAGCTCATTCGGAGCGGAAGAAAAGGCTCTGCACTGCAAATGGCTTTCCTTAAAATCCCCCAAACAGAGGTACAGTCTGCTGATAAACGGACACCAACAGCTGCTTAGTTCATTTCACAAGCATGAAAAGGAGATTTTCAACTGAATTTAATATTATCTCCAATACTAATTTCCAAAGGAAATCACCAGTGCTAATCTCAGTCAACACTGTAGAGTTTTGGCCCTGGATTTCAACTAGGGAGCAGTGAAACCAAACAGCCTACATAGAATCTGTATTGCCTCACTTTAAAGGTTTATTTCCTACAATTAAGCCGGAAGGATGGGGAGGATATAAAATGAGAAAGAGAATGGCCGTGGCCTTCTCTTCCTGCACAGACGATCAGATCTGGAGTCTTCTTCGAAAGCTCCATGGTCCATGTGCATTTCTGAGCTGAACACCTGCAGACGTGGAACTTTAGAAATAGACCAGACAGCTTATTGTGGAAAAGAAGAGCAAAAATTTTAAACACCCCATGCAACAGTTGCTGGAGAAAACCAGAAAAAAAATGTTCTCCTTTATGAGTTTACTGATCAGGATGCAAAGCTTAATAGTCGTGTTTAAAGCATCACTGTGTAATTACCATCACAACCAGAAAATTTCTCAAATACTGGACTGAGGGTTAAAATGTTCATATTGTACAACACCACAAATGCACAAAAATCTTATCATGAGCTAAACAGATCACCTGACTGGTAACCTGAAAGTGACCTACAAGGCTAGAAGGACTTTTTATTTTGAGTCACATCAAAATCCTTAAAAAAGAGGTGGGTGTAGTTGAGGGTGCCAAGCCAAAGTGCACATTTGCAGAATGTACTGAACATCATTTATTAGCTGTCATTCTGGACACAAAGTCTTCCACTTGCTTCAGAGAGCTGACAGATCTACCATCAAAGAAAAGAACCCACTCTTACACATGCCAGTAGCATTGTAAGCTTTTAAAAAATACACAGACCAGGGCTGGCACCGCGGCTCAATAGGCTAATCCTCCACCTGCGGCGCCAGCACACTGGGTTCTAGTCCCGGTCGGGGCGCCGGATTCTGTCCCGGTTCCCCTTTTCCAGTCCAGCTCTCTGCTGTGGCCTGGGAGTGCAGTGGAGGATGGCCCAAGTCCTTGGGTCCTGCACCCGCACCAGAGACCAGGAGAAGCACTTGGCTCCTGGCTTCGGATCAGCTCGGTGCACCTGCCGTGGCGGTCATTGGAGGGTGAACCAATGGTAAAGAAAGACCTTTCCCTCTGTCTCTCTCTCTCATTGTCCACTCTGCCTGTCAAAAAAAAAGGGGGGGGGGGCTTTTGTTGTGTTGTTTTTGGTGAATTTCTTTTTATTTTGGAAGAATTTTAGGTTATATTAAGTGTTGTAAAGACAGAACAGAGGGCTCCTATATACCCTTCACCCTATTCCCTACTGATAACTTCCTCCATCACCATGGTACATCTGCCACAACCAAGAAATTAGCACTGGTATACCATGATAAACTCAACTAGACTGTATTTGGATTTCACCACTTTTCCCATTTTTGTTGTTGTTCCAAAATGCAATCCAGGATATCTCATTGCATTTACAGCTTCTGTTTGTAAAGTCTCCCCCAAAACAGTGCCTGGATTCAGCGCTTGCTTTACTAACTTGAAATGGAAAAGCCACTTCCATGTGATTCCTATGGCTTCTGGGTACAGCTATCTAAGATGGGCTCCAACAGCCATCCCTGTGCCAAACGCGAGCCTGTACCTCTGTAGAATTTGCTGTAACCAAGGTCTACAACTCAGTGTGGCAGAACAGGGCCTGGGTGAATACTACAAATGGTTGTCATGGGGAAAACACTTAAAAATACGCTTCAACTCAAGCACGATTAGCTCCTGATGATGGAGATGTTGTTATAAGCATTTTTATGACATATCAAGTGGCCCAACTCCCTTGAGCACACACCGATACTAGCCTATAACACTACATAAATAGATACTCCTGTGTAATTAGAATGATTACAACTACTCAAGATGCATGGGTGACAAGTTTTATAGAAGAACCAGCAATTACTGTGGTCATTTTGGATTTAAGTTTAGAACATCATTTTTCCTTAAAACATAACTGCATGTGTTCTGTGGATTCATCTGTAGCTCTGACAATCACAGGCCCAAGTGGCCACGACTGCAGCCCAGTGGGATCAGACATAAATGATCACAAGCTATAGTGACAGGCATTTCCACTCAGCGGCTCCACAATTAGGGCTTAGAACTCTGTCTGCTCAGAGTGGCTCTCTCACCGGCAAGACCCCTTGCCACTGGAGACACACTTTCCCGCTGCAGCCTGCTTGGAATCAATACATTTCTATACAGATATATATTCTAACACACCATATCTCCATTAATCACATCTGCTCCCCTCAGTCCTTTCTCTCTGTACTTCTAAACAAGATCTGGGGGAACTATATCAAGGGTTCACCTGCTATTAGCTGGTAATTTGCTCTTCCATCCTAAATGTCGTAAGAGCGGGATGCTAGATACACTCCTGGTGTATCTGGTGGCAGGTTCTCCTCCAAAGCATCGTGCTGAGGGGCCCATAAGCGGGACGATTTCTCTATTGTTCTTTTCTCAGAGTCAAACTCAATTTCATTCACGCTCCATAGAGTGATAAGTTGGGGATTTCTGAGGGTTGGAACAGAAAGATAAAGCAGCTTTGTGTCAGGTGTGAGGTAATTATTTGCCAGGGTTTCTGTGCTGTTTGTTTTTATTCCCTGCGTTTTCATTAACAGTTAATGAGTTTCCCCCTTCATTCTGAAACAATAGCTTGGCCACTAGAAGTTGGCTTTTTCCACCACAAACTCAACCAGCTGTTGCTGCTCCATAAACTTTATGGAGACGTGAATTAAACTGCTCAAAACTTACATTTACTAATTCAATTCCAAATAAAACGGGGGAAAAAATGAACCATGATGATGAGCCCTTTGTAACTATCTGACTCAGAATGAACTCGCACAGACCTGCACTGCCAGGCACTGTGTAGGACAAAAATGGACCCCATTTACGTTTCTCTGATGAAATGAAAAACGACAAAATAGTTGAAGCATTAAAAATCACAAATATGATCAAACAAATAACAAGTAAAATATATCAATATGAAGGGACTTCAAAATGTTCATGGAAAAATGGAGTTAAGGGGCCGGCGCTAAGGCATAATAGGTTAAGCCTCTGCCTACAGTGCCAGCATCCCATTTGGGTATTGCTTTGTGTCCCAGCTGCTCCTCTTCCGGTCCAGCTCTCTGCTATGGCCTGGGAAAGCAGTAGAAAATGGCCCAAGTTCTTGGGCCCCTGCACCTGTATGGGAGACCCAGAAGAAGCTCCTAGCTTCGGATCAGCCCAGCTCTGGCCGTTGTGGCCATTTAGGGAGTGAACTAGCAGATGGAAGATCTCTGTCCCTCTCTGTCTATAACTCTCCCTCTTGAATAAACAAATAATTTTTTTCTAAGAAATGGAGTTAAAAGCTAAGTTCGTTTTGGCACAAAGAATTTTTTTGAAGTTCATGCATGGTTTTTTCATAATACACATTTTCCATAAACTTTCTGAAGACCCTACATATATGTTCATTCATTTAGTACATAAAGTCTCAGCGTTTTTAATGCTACTGTTATGTTCTAATTAGTTGTGAGCTATATTCTAAAGACTATTCATATGCACTGCACCCAATTGTCTATGTGGTATGGTTAAAAACTTTCTAGAGTTTGCCATTATTTCAGTGGGTATCTTTGGATAACATACGAAAACTGAAACTAATATAAAATCATGATTTGCTACTTTGTTTGATATTTAAGAACCAGGAGACACCCAGCTGCCTCTGTAATAAATCATCACTAGAATGCTATAAATAATGGTCCTTGATCCAAATCCAGCTACTTTTCATGCTTGATAGCATCAATATTGCCCGATTTTCATGGGCCAATTTAAGAGTAATGTAGTTCCCAAAGCTGAACTTCAGCAATAATGGCAAAACTGCACCTTATTACTCCTTATTATAACCATTCACCTAAGATACTGAATCTAACAGCAGTGAAAGGTGGTGAGTGCAGACACTGCCATATATGTGAACCGTTACTCCTGTGTAAATATATTCTAGAGCATGTTTGCAGCTCCATAGCTGAAGTCCTACCAATAGGTCCATTAT